TACCTTGAGGAAAGAGCTCCCCACCCATTAACATTCTAAGAGCATTTCAACTTTCACTGATCATTCTTGCACTCGGGTATATTATGATATCACCATGTTACCACTGTGCCAGGGAGTAAACTTCCTGTCATACTCGTTCATACAGGTGCTGACTCTAATGTTGCTGCCGATGGCACTTGTCCCTCCCACTAAGTAATGCGGCGTCTCAAGGCACTGCAAGTTAGTACCCATACCAAGCTTCGCCCCCCTCCCCCTCCCATCGGAGCAAACTGCCATTTGGCCCTATGTGCTCGTGCAGATTGATCCTCGTTAACAGTGAGCCTTTTCGCCCTGTCAATCTCATGTCCCTTCGCCCCGCTTCATCAGCCTCGTCAGAAACTCTCAACCCATAGCTACCTAATCAAAATAGCTTTGACAACCGTCCCCGACGGAGGTTTTTTTTTGGGGGGGGGGGGGAATCCAAAGCATCAAACATACTCTTCATCGCTTCCAGCAGCGAGAACTCCGCGCTGATACCCACCAGATCCGTACCCTACCCATTGTCCTTCATGGCAATGGTTTGCAATTCTCAATGCTGTCTACAGTCAAACACGAATCAAAAGGCCAGGTAGGTATCTTTCCCAACAAACTGTCCCTGCCATAGTCATCCACAGCAGTCGTGCCGCGAAACTTTGCGAACAGAGTTTTCTCCACGCGCACCGAGTTTCTATCGAGCCAAAAGACGAAGAGCCCGCTCTTCCAGACGTAGGAGCCTATATAGGGCAGGTCTGCCGACCCAGTTTCCAAGTTGAACTCAGCGGGGGGGTTGAGCCCCGTACGAGAGGAGTTAGCGCAACGGTATCCCTTGCCTAACATTGTCAACTATGAAAAACCTGGCCAGTTTTTCGTAAGGTCCCTGTTCGATCCCGAGTCGGGCCTCGCTCCGATCAGGACGGAGCGTTCATACCTAGCTTTTTTGCCCAGTTTTTATAATAGATCATGTAGGTTTAAAATAAAACCTCGATGTTTTGTTCTATTTTCTCCCTTTCTTAGAAAATAAATGTTGGTTTTCTTTTCGTTTGGAGGAAAGAGAAGAGAAAAGAAAAGAAAGAAAAACAGTGAGGCGGTAGCTTGGATGTAAATTTCTTTTTACCGCTTTATCACACTGGGTAACATCATAATGTCTTCATTTTAGATAATGTGCTTCACGGCCGCTGCGGGATAAGTTACTTCTTTCGATAAATCGCAAATCAAAGATTGATCCCGCATCTTTTGCCGATGCAAATCTTGACGATGTCGCATTCGACTGAGTCCGAGGCCATTCAGCCGGTGCTGCTCCGCAATCTATTCTGGAATCCTGTGTCTGTAGACGATCATTTATATTGGGAATATACTAGCCAGTTCAACTAGAAAACTATTTTGCAATGGATTCTAATCTCTCGAGCATCACGATGTCCTCATTTTTGAGTTGGATCGTGTTGACTCTCGCGCCTCTGGCTTTGTGCCAGTTAGGGACAGCACCGGTACCAACATCGGCAGCGAACGGTACAACCCACCCGGATGTGCCACCACCTCCCTTTTCTAGAAGCTGCACGGTAAATTCACTGAGTTCTCCGCACCTTCGTCTCAGCGCCGTTCGATATGAACCATCACACGTCGAGTTTGTGGTCTACAACCCAATGAACAACTTGACGACACATTGCTCTGCCAAATATGAGTCTCTGGAGAGCATGACGATAATTACTGGAGACTGCCCGAACAATGCTCCTGAGCGGGGAGGCGTCGCAACGTCTACCAGCTTTCGCTTTGACAAGACTAGCGATGGCGGCACTGGAAGGCTCGAAGTCAACCAGACTTGGACCTGTGATGACGATTCTGCATTCAACTTGGATAAGTAAGTTGGGTCTTAATATCATGCGAACTTGAGACCATCTGTGAGCGATACTAATGGTAAAACCGCAGAAGACCGTATGTTGGCCACGGCAACGTGACCGTACCAGCCACCACACAGCAACAACAAGAGCAGCACATCTGGCTGACACTCTCATCACCCGTGAAGCTAAAGCCAGCCACAGCCACGCCTCCACTGGGACACGACACGGCCGGGTGCGCGGCCAACTCTACCGCGCCGAGCTGGATCATCTCCGACTTTGACTGGCGCACCGGCTCCTGGATCGGGCCTTCGAACCCGCTCTCGGGCGGATGGGTCCTCTCAGCGTTCGTCCTGCGCATGAACATTACCAACCCAGCCACCAACACCACCGTCTCTTGCACCGCCTTCTGCCCAACTGGCACCATCAACGGCAACGACCCGGACTATCTCCTCGACCCCGTGTTCGCCAGGTACACCATTGATTGGTGCACCTGCGGCGGCCTGCCCCCATCCGACACCAACGCCAGCTATCTGACCACCACCTCGATCCGGCTCGACGGGAACCGCCGCCGTTTGGCTGTCGCGCAGACATGGTACTGTGACCCCAGCGACACTGCCGGCACGAGCAACCCCATACAATTCTCCGCCTCGGGCGAAGTCGTCCTCCCAGCACCGCTGCAATGCGTCCCGCGCCCCACCACGGAGCCTGGGTTCAATATAGGCTCGCGACCGTTCATCATCCCAGGCCCGGCCCCGCTCTCCGGTGGGCGGACATGCGGTCTTCCTGTCAGCAACTTCTCCGTCCCGGGAGCCCTCACGAGCCAATACACACTTCAAGCCCCCGACGCTTTGCTCCTACCCAAGCCGGTGAAGCAGAGCTGCACGGTCGACTCGTTCGGCCTGCTCCGCAACGCGACGGGGAATATCGTCTTCGCGGTCCAGTACTTCGCGGTGGGCTATCTCGACGACGATGAACACCGAGGCACCAGCTGGCGGAACGGGAGCTCCGTGACGTTGGATGTCATGGCGCGGGGTCTGGGCGGGAAGATTGAGTGCAAGTGGTCGGATCGAGTGGCGGATGACGTGGATGGGGAGGATGCCGTGATGCGTTGTTCGCGCTGGGATGGGATCAGTCTGACGGGGACGGGGAAGGGGAGTGATGTTCCCGAGATGAGATATGATTTGCGGAAGAACGTTGTCAAGGCGGCGGTGAGTTGGCGGTGTGATGATAAGGACCGGGACACGCCGTGAGTTTCTTTTCTTCTGTCCATCTATTTCCTTCCTCGCAATACCTGATCAAAACATACGTATTTGTTGCTAACACCAGAGTTGACCAAGAATCGAGTTCAAGGCCACTGGGCTCGCCCAACTTCCGCCCTTGGACTGCACCCCTCCTGGTTCAGGTATTTCCAGCCCAAGCTGGAGAGACTGCCATAACGTGTGGCAAATGCCTCTCAACCCTGCCGGCGTGGCGACGTTTTCTCTTTTGGAGGTTACGTGGGGTTCGGTTGGCGGAAGCTGAGAGGGATGGGATCGGAAGGCACCATCCATCCCCTTGGGTTCTGGAGGCACCTAACAAGGTAGATGCTTTGAATCAGTGGTATCGATGAGGCTGTGGTGATTGTAGAATCTTAAACCAGACTTGATACACCTGGCAACCCACTATTATACTTACCTTATTACTTGGGCGGCAGCTGTTCATTGATTGATGACTGTGTAATCCTTTTTGACATATGTGTGGAAGAGTGATATCGCCATTTTGCGTGGGCAAGGAACGACCAGGAGAAGAAAGAGTACCTATATAGTCACCCCCGACAACGTTTTTTTTTGGCTAAATTTGTATTAGGCTTGAAACCTGAGCAGGAGCTGAGGCGCACTGAGCATCGCCCTGAGTCGAGCTGAGTCCCAGGGATGTCCTGGTTATACTTGCCGTATCTAGACTGATCCCAGTTTTGGGACACCAGCTCATAACTTCCGTTTTTTTTCTTACGGGTGCAATCAGCTACCGTTATCAAACCAAGCAGGGTGAATGCCCCCAAGCACGGGTGGAAAAGGGTTACTCTAGTAATACGCTAGAACTTAAAACGTAATAAACGTTCAAATAAAATTACTATCATTATATATAGTTTCGTAATGCCGTTGAAATTAAATTATAACCTTTCTAAATATTACAATCCACACATAGAGTGTCTGAACTACAAGGTGGTACGCCGTGAGTTGGGTGGTTGAGTCACGTAGGGAAGGTAAGCTCCTTGAACAAGGTCGATCGAGAGTATTGATACACACGTGTGGAATGCCTTCACTAGTAATGAAGCAGATGAATGTGTATTGCTTACTTGCCGAGTTCCATAAGGGAGACTCGGCCTATCTGTTTATATAAGTCGTGCCCTGCTCTGATTGGTTCTTCTACCCGGTTGGTGGGGCGCTCTTGGTTCCCTTGTCAGGCTCCACTATGCTGCATATTAAAATCGTGACACGATACCCCTCCTTCCGGGGCCTTCGTCCCGGAGGTCTGGCTGCTCTTATTTCTGCTGGCGCCCAACCCATCCCTAGGTAAGTTCCTCCGCAACTATCCTCTCTGCAATGTCTAACCGTGTTCGAAAGCGAACTAGTACCGATCGTCGCCGCAATACAGCAGCTTCCTTTCCTGCTTCGGATCCCTTATAATGGGGAAGTGTTCTTTGTAAGAAAAAGGACTTCGAGTGCTGTATTGACGATACGAAATCCCGATGCGCTTCGTGCGAGAAGGCAAACCGTCGGTCCTGCGACGCGTATGGAGTCGACCGTTAGTTCCTTCCGTCCTCCTCTTCTTTGCGTTCCTAACCGTCGTTAGTCCGTCCTTTTATCGTCCGGAAGAAACGTCTTGACGAGGAGAAAAAGGAGACTCTCTCGAAACTGCTCCGTCTAGAGAAGGAGTCTAGGGCTCTGGAGGAGGAAGCCCTGCGGGCCTACCGCCGTGAGGTTGAGCTCCTTCAAGAGGACGACACGGGCGCCGCTGCCCCTTCCTCTAGTCCTACACTGGACTGGTCCTCGATTGATCCTTCCCTTCTTGAGGGTCTTAGCGTAGTGGTTCCTTCCCCTCCTACCGTAGCTTCTTCGTAGTGTAATGACAGTGGTTTCCGCTCCTGTGTCTTAATAAATGAAATCTGGGCTGCTGGCGCAGTGGTTAGCGCACCCGACTTTCGTCGAACGGGCAATCCTCAGTTTTGGCCGGGGATTCCCTTTCGGTGTCCGGGAGGTCGTAGGTTCGAGTCCTACGCGGCTTGTCTTTTTAGTTTGTCGGGATTCCTTTGATGGGACTCCTTCTTTTCTTCGTAATTCGTTTGGTTGGCCGAAGAATTCCAGCTATTGTCCGCTGAAGGGTAGCCTTCCCCATTGACGAAGTATTATATCCCCTGTCCAACTTTCTTAGAATCAAGAATCTCTTCCACTTCGTACTCCTCTTGCTTATCGTCTTCTAATTCCGCCTATTACACTCCACACACAGGCTGTCTGAACTGCAAGGCGGTACGCCGTGAGTTGGGTGGTTGAGTCAAGTAGGGAAGGTAAGCTCCTTGAACAAGGTCGGTTGAGAGTATTAATACACACGTGTGGAATGCCTTCATAAGTAATGAAGCAGATGAAGGTGTATTGCTTACTTGCTGAGCACCTTAAGGGAGGCTCGGCCTAATTGTTTATATAGACAGTGGTTCAGTGAGTGTTTTGCCCAGGCATAGGGCCCGAGATCTTTCCGTGTTTCCTTCGGGCCCTGGCCCGAGGCTGTCCCGATCCTGATTGGGGGAGCCCTGTGGGGACGGGCAAACGTCATGCAGGTTGGCCTGCATATCACGGGGCACGGACCACATGGCTCTGGTGGCTCTGTGCCGTTGAGGACAGAGCCCACGGAGCCATATTTTGGGCCAATCAGGGGGAGTGGCTCTATATAAGCAGATAGGCTGAAGAGCCTTTGTGGTTCTTCAGCTATCAACCAAAGTAGACAGTTTAGTCTTTGCAGTTGAACTGTGGTTCAGCAAGCGATCTATTTACTCTTTGATACTCTATCCACCCGAGGTTACTGTGTGTGACCACTCACCCCCTTGAGCCTCACCCCATACCCCTTAAGGAGGATCCAGATCGTCACAGGACAGCTTCCATCTGTGTTCAAATGCTAGCAAAGTGGACCATGGATCCATTACCTATGAAGTAAACAGTTCTTACTGTCGCGCTACTTCCCCTCACAACGCTTAGTACTTCTAAAGCCAGGCAGCTGATGTAGACGAGAGTCAAGGCAACAGTCAAGACGATTGAAGCCGCCCATTTCAGCCCGCTCTTATGATTTCGGACTAGGCTCTGGCCACCATGGGTCATTCTGCCATTTAGACTTTACCACCCCTGGTTCATTGCTCCACGCTATCGGTGCACTCATTATCCTTAGCGGTCAACGGTGGTTGACTTGAACTTCCTGGCGGGCAACTCTGTGGTCTCAGAGAATTAGGGGAAAAGTCTGGTTCCACTCTGGTCGATCTATTGCTACAATTAAAGGACTACAATTGGCATTGGATGCCCCGTTTTCCTTTCCCACCAACGTGTTGCTCCCAGTTACACCCTGCCACTTACTAGCTTCCACTCAAGTTGTCCATCTACTCGTCATCGCCGACATCGACGACTATCTGCTTCCATTTGCGAGCCGGGACCTTGCGGTTGAAGAGGATATCGATCTCGCGGTAGGACCGGCCCTTCATCTCTGGCAAGTAGATATAGGCCAGGAGGAAGCAGACGAAACCAGTGGAAGCCCAAACGTAGCCGCACCTGCCGCCAAGGTTGACCCCCTATCACCATGTTCATGTCAGCGGTTTGTTTTGCCACGTTTGCAGAGCTTGTGGGAAGAAGGAGAGAAGATTTTCACACATACCGTCGGGTTGAGCATATAAGCGCCAAGGAAAATGCAAGGAATATTGATAATGTAGTAGGAGGCGCGTCCGACACCAGTCGTCAGAGGACGGAGGCGAATGGCCGATGTCTCTCCGATGATGACCCACGAAGCAGGTGCAGGTCCCAGGGTGAAGCCGACAGAGACGATAAGACCCAAGGATGCCTGCGCCAGACTGGCCGACCTTGAAGGACCGACCGAGGCTGCGACACCCAGAGCAATCAGGAAGCAGACATTGATGAACGAGCCCCAGACGTAGATGGTTCGTCGGCCGAGGTATGTCGTGAGAATCCATGAAAGCATGACGAAGATGGTTTGCAAGGCGGAGGTGATGAGACCGAGTGCGAAGGCAGTTTGAGAATCCATGCCGGCCTCTATACACCTCGGGTTAGCACACACACACAAGCAGACACACGCATACGTTCACCAAATACTGAGCATAAGCTATTAAGAGAAAACTTACGTCTGAAGAAATAGACAGCCTGGTTAGCGATAAGGTTACCCGTTAAGTTCTGGGCCGCGTACACACCACACACAATAAGAGTACGGTAGGTGTCAGTGCCGCGGAACAGCTCCAGGTAGCTGGGTTCCTTGGTGGACTTCTCTAGCTCAATAGTACGACGCATCATGGCAACCGACTCGTCGAGATGCTCAAGCTTCGACGCGCGTCCCAGGCGTCGAACCGACTTAGCCGCATCCTCGAGACGCCCTTTTCGAACCAGCCACCAAGGCGACTCGGGAGCCAGAAAGATGAGGATTGCGAGAGGGGTCGGGAACATCCATTGGAGGGCAATAGGAATCCTGGACACCTTTTTATCAGCAAAGAGAAATGGAGCTTGTGATACAGAAAAGAGCTTGCTGACCTGTAACAAGACGAGTCGGTCCGGCCTTGTAATGCGTAGGTAATGCCACCCACAATGATAGATCCAATAGCCCAGAACATCTGCAGCATCTGGGTAGCAGGGGCCCTCAGCTTCATCGGCACGATCTCGCTGCAGTATGCTGGTGCGTTGGCGATGAAGATGCCCCATGGTACACCCTCAAGCAGCTGGGCCACAAACATGACGGCGAGCGAGTTGGCAAAGTAGAAGACGAAGATGAAGACGTTCAGAAACATGAGACCACCGATGGTCGCCCAGCGGTATCCGATACGGCTAGTGATCGGGCCAGCGATTAAGACGCCGATAAGTGCGCCGAGAGGGCCACCGACCTGAAGCGCAGACTGCCATGAAGCCTCAATAGCCTTGTTACCATCCTTGTCGACGACGCCGTACTCATCCATGAACTGATTATAGGCGACGAAAGCGCCCATGAGGAAGACACAATACGACTCCATAATCTAACCATAGGTATCAGCTATGATTTCTTAGGGGGGAGATGCACACCTGGTAGTAGCGGGCCGCTCACAATGGTACAGGACATGATCAAGGCCCAAAAGGCAGCCATGGGATAGGCCCGAACGGCCTGCATGACGCCCATGTTGTGCTCGACGTTCTCTGCCTCGATTGCATCGCCCTTGTAGGCGGCAAATCCCGCCTTCTCGTCGAGATCGGGAGCATGACTGACGCCGTGTCCGGGGTCAATCTCGGATTGGTGAACGACACTGGGCACCTCTGTTTCACTCTTTAGCTCTGCGCCTTCCGCCGAAGACATGTTGAAAATGGTTCGCTGGGTTACCGTACAACCTCGCGAGGGAGAGAAAAAATCAGCAGGCTGGAGGGGCACGTAAAAAGTTGAAAGACAGGTGGGTTCTCCTACCCTTTTACCGTGTCTGCGGATGTGTCTCTAATATTTATTACAAAGTGGATGGGAGTTTTACTGGAATACCCGTTAGCATTACTACCCGAGGCGCACTGCTCTTCTAATAGGTGCGCTTGTACGGGATTAATGAGCGGACCACCAGCGGGCGGGTCGCGATAAGCCCGCGTAGTGTTGCACTCTGAGACCCAAGCCGTCCGAGGTAACCATCGACGAATAGCCGTGATGTATGTTTACGATCCTAATTGCACCCATCACGTTCGTCTTCTTCTCCGCATTGTATTTCTCCAAAACAGGAGGAGCGAGGGAAAGCGCTGCAAGATCGCATTCTATCATAAACAGAGCGATGCCCCCTTTGACGAAGGGGCTCTCGAGTAACAGTACAACCGCTCGCGAGGCGACGACTGGGAGTAGTAGGCAGCGCGCGGGTTGGGAGAACGGCCAGACGCTAGCTTCGGGCATGGGGTTGGGCGATTGTTGCTAAGAGCCAGGATAACCGTTTCAGTTTGGAGGGTGAGGGGAATATTCTCGGCCCGATTAACGACGCGGGGTGGGAGCGCTTCCCCGCATCGTTACAATCCCAACCTTAGACAAGGTGCAGCTGCTGAATAACAATCGGTTCAGTAGGGCAACTGAGATAGCGGTGTGAAGAGACTGCAAGGATTCAAGTCCGAGAGTATATACGAGATGTAAACCAATAACAAAACGAAGATGATATAACAGCCCCGACCCCAGTCGAGGTGGACACGATGGATTCAGTTGGTCTAAGTGGACAACTGGGCTGGCGGCTAACTGGAACTTCAAGGGCACAAAGGCCTAAAAGGTAAAGCTAAGTCGATGTACAATAGGGTAAGCCCCTAAGCGGGTGATATATAATAGGATTGCTCTTGTAGTAAACAAGACGTATGTCACGATTCTCACCTGCGGGGCAGATCACAAGTGGGGGAAGGGGCACGGCTGTTTGATTGGCTCGAGGGAGCGAACCAATCAGGATGGGCCCGGGGCCCGAACCCTTTGTGTCCGGGCCTCGGGCCAAGGCCAGGAGGAATCAAGAAGTCTCGGGCCCTGGAGACAAGGGCGTACTGTCCCTCTCGGTGTCACCTATATAAACAGCAGGCTGAGCCTCCCTTATGGGGCTCGGCAAGTAAGCAATACACACTCATCTGCTTCATTACTTGTGAAGGCATTCCGCACGTGTGTATCAATACTCTCAACCGACCTTGTTCAAGGAGCTTACCTTCCCTACGTGACTCAACCACCCAACCTTGGCGTACCGCCTTGCAGTTCAGACACCCTGTGTGTGGATTGTAATAGCGTAAAATGTATGACTTACTTAGTGAAAACTAAGTCTATTTGAGAGGTGGTCCCAAGCCGCTTTAAGTATATGAAGGCAATCGTGACCCAAGTCCGTAGACTCCCGTCCCCGGGCCTAATTCCGCGCCCCGGGCCTTCGGGCCCCTCCTAATTAGCTCTTTTCACGCTAGCTAATAATTAGTTAGGTATAACCGCCTGGGTTCCATACTGTGTCCGGTATTTGCCTCGCTGTTCACCATCCTGGTCCCGGGTGTTGCCCCTGATGATGGGGCTCCGCTACTAACCCAGGCTCTCTGTTTTGTTGCTGTCGCCCTTTACGACTTTCACGAGCATGAGTTCGCATGAATGACACAGTCATCACAGGTTCAAATATCGCTTGAATTGTGTTGCCTACATACGCTGATGAGTCCGTTCTCCCGATTTCCCGGCCTCTGGATCTCGTAACCGGTCCTCCAAGTCTCTAACTGATCTTGCCCCTGTCCCTCACCGAGCCACAGACACCTCGGAGATACACGAATCAGCAATAACGTTAAGAGTCAATATTGGCTGTTTCTTTCGAGCCGCAGTGGCGCCTTGGCGTAAATTTTTCCTATGTTGCTTGCCTACTCCAGGTTCGCCGTGTTCGCCAATTCTGGGATGCGGACGCCCATTGCCATTGGCTGTTTCAACGTTGACAGCGCTTCTCGTGGCACACCCATCGTGTGGACTTCCAGGAGAAGACATCTTGTCGACTAGTCGCCTGGGCTTCCAGATACATATTTCGGAACCCTGAGGCCAGCCTGGCGGTCTTGTCGTCGTTGGCCTGGTACGCGGTTGCTGAGGACAATGCTGGTGACGCAGGCTGCGCTCTTGCGGCGCCGCGCATCGGTCTAGCGTCCGTTCCAAAGTCACCCGTGTCAAATTCGTCGTCTTCACTGGTATCGCCATCGGATCTAGAGTCCAGAGTCCGGGCACAACTCTTGGGCGTATCTGAGGTTCTCCCGCTCTCCCGCTTCGGCGTTTCGCTTCGGAAGAAGTCCTCGGCAGCTTCCCGCGTAGGGAACTTTTTGTGGTGGTTCCCTTTGAAGCCATTTACCATTTGGCTTGGCGTCGCTGTTTGTTCCCCCTTGTCAGCAAACGTTTCTGCCGTCATCATTCGCCTTACCAAGCGTATCATAATTATCTTGAACTGCATGCAACTCGAAGAGAAACTCACTCCAAGGACAGGTAGACACCAGGTTTCACCCCCACAACCACTACATAATACCCTTGAGCCATCCCAGGCGTGCTTTCTTTCCACTATGTGGGGTTGGTTTGCAGGGATCCAGTGTTTCTCGAGCTCGGTAACTGACCAAAACGTGAAAGTTTATGGGAGAAGTTGTCACTTGTTTCGGGACGTCGAAAGCGACGATTGCAATTCTTCAACAAAAGGAAGCGGCTCAACATGGAACTTATAGACTCAGATGACTTGGAGCATCGTCTGAACGCACAAGCTGTCTGTTTGACATTTTGTTTGCTATGGCTGCTGCGGCAGAGAGGCGCCATATCTGTAAGCTTTTGGACGGATTCAGCAGGCGTCTATTCAGGGCCCAACCTAGCTTCTCAGTCCCAGGGGTTGCCTGTCACGCATCAAGCTGTCGGCCTCACTGCGCCGGCTGTATGCCTCCTTGTAGGCCCCAAGCCACCAGTTCCAGCGTGACACACAAAGCAGTTGAACTGACATAACACGGAACGAGAGATTGATCAAAACCAACAACAGTACAAGGTAATGCAATCCAATAAATGCAACGGGCTTCAAGGACGACCAGTTCCGAGGCCACGAATCGGGCGCGGCGATGTTTCGTCGGTGGAAAGATTTGCACATTCTTTGTCCATGTAGTAAGTTAAAAACAGGACGTGAATTACGTAAAAGATGCAGTTGTGGCGGATAAAGCGGAGAATGGAGATTCAGAGGTGTAGGTGCGACGGAGAAAAAAAACCTACTTGCGTTACTGGAACAGGAGTGATTTCAATGGTTGTTGCAGAGCTCTGTATCGCAGGTATGCGCGGTTTCCGCACTGTAAATTTGGCCCCGGTGAAAGGCTGGAAGTTAGGCTGGCCACCTGCCAAACTACGCCTAGCGCAAACATTTGGAACCTCAGCCTTACAGCAGATCAGGCCATGCTTTCTTCCAGGTTATTCATCCACAAGGCATCGGTCTTTGGGAAACGCTGTTATGTCCTGAGGCTCTATTCTGACACAGGAGAATTGACGCCAGGCAATCACTCGGGCTTCGGGGAGAATACTCAAGATCACATATCTTACGCTCACAGGGTGCACACGACTCCGAAATTTTTTTATTTTTTTTTTAAAAAAAAACACCCGTTTCCAGCGAATTTAGCGCTTCGTAAAGTCTTCAAGTCCTGCATGCATGCAGATCGCCTAAGGCTGGCGAGCGGAGCGTGCGTTAGCTCGGCTGCATTGAAATTCGGCCTTTTACGGTACAAAAGGGGGCCCGTGCGATGACAGCTGCCAGCGAGATAAGGCTCATTACATAACCACGCACCGCAGACAAGGGCATATTACAATCCACTCACAGAGTGTCTGAACTGCAAGGCAGAACGCCTGGAGTTGTTGGGTTGGGATCACGTAAGAAGGGTAAGCTCTTGAACAAGGGGAATTGTCTGGTACACAAAGGTGAATTGCCTTCACAAGCAATGAAGCAGATGAATGTGTATTGCTTACTTGCCGAATCTCATAAGGAGAGTTCGGCCTAATTGTTTATATAAGCGACGACGAGAGGGACAGTACGCCCCTGCCTTGGAGGCCCGAGACTTCTCCTTAATTCCTCCGGGCCTTGGTCCGAGGCCCGGACACAAAGGGTTCGGGCCCCGGGCCTGTCCTGATGGGTTCGCTCCCTCGAGCCAATCAAACAGCCGTGTCCCTCCCTCCACTTGTGATCTGCCCCGCAGATGAGAATCGTGACACGATGCCTTTCCCCTCCTGAACTTCGTCCCGAAGTTCGAGCCCAACGGCGCCCTGGTAAGTTTCCCCTCTTTCATCCTTTTGCCGCCTTGCTCACGATGCCTCGTGCAGGTATCTGAAAAACGCTTTCATGTATTCTGAACGGAAGTTCAACGAATCCTCCGCCCTTTACGTCGCGACGGCTTTCTTTAGCCACGAAGGCATGCCTTGCTCGAACTGCTTTAGCGCCGATCCGCCCAGGTCGTGCCTTTACTCCGAATCCTCCAGCATCTGTTCCGAATGCCAGCTTCGCAAAGTCCACTGCGATGGCAACAGCGTCGGTCCGGCTTTAATTAGCACCCTTGATACAGCGGCTCGTATCCAGGAAGAAGAAGAGTCGCTAGAGGACGAAATCATCGCCCTTCAGAACAAACTCCTCGGCCTTCGTCAGCGTCGTCGCGGATTTCAACAAAGGGGAAAACGCCTGCTTTCCCGGGGTCTTGCTTCCCAAAGGGCTTCCACTCCTATCTTGGCCTCAAATCCTCAGGCCTCTTCGTCGGTTGCTCCTGCCCCTTCGGCGAATCCTAGCCTTTCCTTCGATTGGTCCCCAATTGATCCTTCCCTTTTGGTTGATCTAGGGGTGGTAGTTCCTTCTTCTTCTACGGCAGCTTCTTCGTAATATAATGACAGTGGTTTCCGTTCTCGCGTTTCAACAAATGAAATCTGGGTTGCTAGCGCAGTGGTTAGCGCACCCGATCCCCGTCGAACGGCCAGTCCTCAGTTTCCGGCTGGGGATTGTCCGTTCGGTGCTCGGGAGGTCGTGGGTTCGAGTCCTACGCGGCTCATCTTTTTGGTTTGTCGGGGTTCCTTTGATGGAACTCCTTTTCTTTCTTTCGCAGTTCGTTAGGTTGGCTGAGGGCTCCCAGCTATTGTCCGCTGAAGGGTAGCCTTCCCACTTGACGAAATATTGAACTCCTCGCCCGACTTTCCTAGAATCGAGGATCTCCTCCACCTCGAATTCTTCCTGTTCGTCGTCCTCCGCTTCCGCCTGGAGGTCCAGCTTGGCGTTCTTTGGCGCTGGCCCCAATAGTGATATGTGAAACACTTTCGACCGCAGCCTCATAGTGCTGGGGAGTTCGAGCTCGTAGTTCGAAATCATGAAACTTATCAATGTGATAACTTTAAGCACCGAAGAATTCATCGACAACAACAACGTTCCCGAGTGTGCAGTCCTCTCGCATACCTGGTCCAACGAAGAAATAACATTCTAGGAGTGGAACAATGGTAAAAATACCGCAACAAAATTTGGGTACGCAAAGATCAGCGGGGCTTGTCGTCAAACATCGAAGGACCGATTAAACTATGTCTAGATCGATACAAACTACATCGACAAGACAAGCAGTGCCGAGTTGTCCAAAGCTATTAATTCCATGTTCGCGTGGTATCGCGCGTCGAAGGTTTGTTATGTCTACCTCGCCGATGTCATAGCAGACGACGTCAAGAATATCATGCCCGCCTTGCGCATGAGTCGATGGTTCACCCGCGGCTGGACCCTCCAAGAACTTCTACCTCCAGAAAACGTTGTTTTTTCCTCCCGCGACTGGGTTCGGCTAGGGGCCACAATAGAGTTAGCCAAAGAGATCTCCACCGTCACAGGCATTCACCAGCGCTATCTCCAAAATTCAGATCCCATCTTCTTAGCATCTGTTGCCGAGCGCATGTCATGGATGAGCAATCGAGTAACGAAACGAGTTGAGGACATAGCGTACTGCAATCTAGGCACCTTCAAGATAAATATGTCACCGCTTTATGGTGATGGCGCCAACGCATTCCTCCGCTTGCAGCATTCCTCCGCTTGCAGGAGGAGATTATCAAGATCTCGGATGATCAGGCCATCTTCTTCTGGGGTTTCGTCTCCTCGGACGTGGTGCCGCCCACCGGGCAGAGCATACTAGCGCCGCACCGAGTCGCCTTCTCTTACGGTCGCGGCTTCGTACCGCGCTATGTGGACGATGCCGCCATCGAGCCTTACGCTATCACCAATGCGAGCTTGTCCATCTCCCTCCCTATCTTGTACACGTGTGAAGGCATCTGCGCCATCCTGGATGTCGCCTGGGATGAGGAGATGGAGATTGACGAGAAAATTGGTCTCCCGGGCGTCTGAGGCGCAAGTGCGGTCCCCTTCTACTGCCAACTGGAAGGCCCGTGGCTTTCGCGCTGCCATCCACCTCAGTATGGTCGGCAATCGCGGCCACTACATCCGCGTGCAGTATCCGCCGCTGCCAATTCCCATCATAGCGTCGCAGTCACGGAGGACAAAGCAGCTGTTCTTACGCTGCCGCGGAATCACGAAGGATCCAAAATCTGTCTCTTATACTACCACCGCGGTGGACATGGTACCCGCTACACATACCAATCGCCGAGGCGAAGCGCTCTTCCTAACATTCGACCGCGCCGTCACAGTCAAGGGAACGTTTACGCCGGACGATGACAACACAAATGACAGCATTGCCCCGTTGGAGCTCGATCGGGCTGGCAACTCTGAGTGGATGCCACAAGTGGACAGGGGATAGCACGGTGGCGAAAGACAGCGCCGCCAGGAAGCATGCCTGTCTCTGGTGATCGCAGAAACACCGCTGAAGGGAGAGAAGTATGGTAGGTGGGACGTAGGGGCAGTGTTCATAGCGAGGGTATGCTCTGATCCAGCATCCAGCAGCCGCCGCGCTGACCGCGTTGAGGGTAATGCATACCATGACAGTGGTGGTAGCAAAATCGATTCCAAGCTGACTTCGACGGTAGCGAGAGAGTGGTATACGGAAGTGGCAGGCGTATAGGAGACTGCCATGTTGCAGAGGCGAGCGCCGCCTACCTCTACATTTTCGGAAACGCTTAAGAAGATCAAGAAAATGTCGCCGACCAGCTACGGCGCCTTCTCGACCACTATCATCACGCAGCTGCCTCGACTAGGAGAGTTAGCGCCAAACCCGCCGTGGACGAGGCTGCACATCGAACCGGGTCCAGGACCTGAAAGATGAAAGAAAATGGTATTAGATGACTTGGTGAGAGTCTTTGAATCCGGTAACGGCCAATGAGTGGGCAAACCAGCCCAGTCAAGGGGTACTGAGGTGGAATGCCATCCGTGGAGACGAAGGTACCCCTCCCTCCCCTGAAGTGCCTTCATAGCCGGGCTTTATCGCTTCCGAAGAGTTGCTCCTCCCCCTACATGGTGAATAGACGCGCGAAGATATTGTGAGGGCCTAAGGTGTGTTGCTATTTGGGGAGGTAGGCCGAGGGGAAGATCCGCAAAGCAGTGATTGAACTCTGAGAGGAAGTGGGCTTTATGTGCAATCCAAAAATCTCTCCCTGCCTGAATGGCCTATGGTAACCCCATTGCTGGACAACGTGTCCATGCCCGCGCCTGATCGATTGGCCCACGGCTCTCTTGCCTAACCTGCAAGAGTGCTCCAGCTACTATTTTAAAGTTCGCCTGCATTACTCAACAGCAAGTTAGGACTGAATATCATAACGTTTAGCCTCGCTCTCTTTTCTACATTCTCCCATTGAGCAGATTCGACAATAGATAGCACCATCGAGCACCAGTGGGTTGCTCGGCGGCTAATGTACCACGCTAGCTCAAGCCCTATTGACGAGCTAGAAGCAGTAATTAGCTTTTTTAAAGAACCAAAGCTTCGCATTGCAAAGGCCAAGACGAAAAGTAGGCATCCGCATCCCGTCTCGTAGTCCTCTTAGCACTTCCGATCCTGCTGGCGGCGGTGCTAGGCCATCTTCCAACTCGACTATCAGCTTACTAGGCGTCAGGTATCTTTGTCAGATAGCACGGCACTTTTGGATTCCAGATTTTGAGAAGATCGATTGAATTGATCGAAGTTCAGTTGCTTGTGCATGTTCCGGATGAACAAAGATCACTAGCCATGCCCGCGGGTCCATAAAATACGGCCAAAATATTTCATTCATAGGCCGCGTGCTGCCACCGAGACAAGAACCGAGTAGAGCTCTGCGTTGAGGATACTATGGGGCATGGAGTTTGGCACATGACGGTGTAATTATTGGGCTTCAAGGTGCGTCTTAATGCCTCGTATTCATGAATGACCACACATGATGAGAGATACAAGTCAAAGCCCCTTCCTTTTCTCTACCCGAACAGGCATCTAGCAGATCGTTACCAACATCCCCGTTCCAGGATGACACCCCACGTACTCAAAGTACTGCTGCTCAGGCTGCAACACCATGACCTCATGAAACACCCTCAGTGTGACATTATTCCCCAGCTTCTTCGCATACTGGAAAAACCCCTTAAAGATGGCCAAATGCGTTGGATGCTCCTTGCACCACTTCTCCAGGGAGGCAAGCTCATCGAAGTATGCCAGTCCAAAGGTACGATCGATGCCTTCCGGCTTGGCTGTCTTCAGATCAACGACCTCCATGAAGCGACAGCTGTAGCAACCGACCTCCTCGCCGTGGTCACGTAGGAACTCCATCCCTTTTGTCAAGACGGGATGCATGGTATCGAGGTAGAGGCTTCTCTCTTCAAGGGTAGTGTCAAGCCAGTCCTGCCCCGAGCGGATGACGGCGAGGTTCTTTCTGCCTGGGATGATCACTCTGCCGGTAGGGGTGACGTCCTGAGGGGGTGACCTATATTCATCTGGTACGGCCTTCACTCCCTCTAGGCCATCGGTCTGCGAGAGAGAGATCCTGTCGCGCATGCTTCCCCAATATCCATGCTCCTTGACAGCTTCGCTCATGCACTGACCCATGTGGGCGGAACCTTCGCGGGCCGTATCGGTGTTGAAGAGTGTCTCGAAGCGGTCGGTCGTTGGGAAGAAGGCCTCGAGGAACCAGCCGTTGGGGCTGTCAGGGTCAAGAGCCTGCCACCACGCTTTGAAGCCTGACTCCTCAGCCCATGACTCGTATGCGGTTTTGCTGGGCCAATACGCCAGGGCGGCGATGTTGTAGAAGCCCTTGTTGTCGGTTACCGAGGTCCATTCAAAGAAGGAGGGAGGGGTCGTGCTCGCTCGGGATGTTAAGAAAATCGTAAGAGTCGCACGAGAAGCGCCATCGGCGGCGTCAGAGGCTGATTTGTGCTGGGCCCCTATGACGGCCATGACGAGCTGGGAGATATTCTCGGGGAAACGGATGCTGAAGCTCGGATACTGAGGCTGGAAGTCGGGGTTCGGCAGCTGGGCCGGTCGAGTTCGAGGACACTGCATATGATCTGCGATCGACGACACCAACATTGTGAACTGCTTGTTCCTGGGTGTTCTGGTATTCTGAAGAGCCGTCTTTGGGGGTGTTTTGGGGTGTGGAAAGCGATGCCTTGAGTGAGTCCTTCTAGGTATCTAGATCCTTCGTGCGGGTATTATCCCGTGAACTCGTCCTCTTTCCGCATCAACTTTGGAGCAGGTGAGCGGGCTCCCCCTTCCCCGGTCTTTTGTCCGCTGCGAGCGGCGTCACACGATTGCTGCCCAACCGCATAACGCGGAACACCAAAGAGGCCACTTGTGGTGGAGCGTGGTGAAAGGGATGAGTTCTAGTGGTATTTACCTAATTTGCCGCATTATTGTTGCGGCTCCAGCGGACCACCGTCCTCTATATCCTACTGACACGAGGTCTAGACCCCGGTGCTCGTTCCACGGCCACATTTCAGGGTCTTCGGGGTGTTATCACAGACGACGCCACAAAAAACAACCTCGAACTCAATTGGCTAATACCCCACCCTTAACACCTCTACCGTATGATGTGTGGGGATGGCGTTGCATTGTGACGCGAAAGGGCGAAGCCTGAAATCTAGAATTTTGGTCGTGGGCCTGGCTAGCCGCTCGGAGGA